TCACAAAGGCTCGTCACGGATATTACGACTGTACTCACCTGCCTTGGTTGCTGATGCGCGAGATTGTACACTGAGCTGACATCATAGAAAATCTGATCCCACTTGGATCTGGCGTGCTTCGATTACTTCAAAGTTGTCACTTAATGTGACGGCGGCGGCCCCCAAAATTCCCCTTTCGTTCCGAGGCATCCTAGTAGACGATGATGTCGGTCACAGCCCGTGTAAATTCTGCTCACGCTTTCGCTATTTTTCGGTCTTAGATTATTTCCATAATATGTCTCAGTATAACCAGCATGGCTATTGAACAATCACGGTATGGTCGACATTTGTTGATGCCGTCTCAGACTTCGAGCCTTCGAGGTGTTACAGTAATATTCGAAATCAGATTTACCTCTACACTCTTAGACTTTCATTCCCCAACCCTATTTTGAAACACACTAGTCTAATTTTAGCTATACCCCAGGAATCCCGATCAGGCTGTATTGTATGCCCTGGTAACAACGGGTGGGTCATTGTTATAATACCGTAATTTCCTTAGAATTCAATAGAGTCTTTCATACGAAGAAACCAAGCAGGGGGTCAATTGTAACAATCTATCAAGATCCGTTTTCCTTCTCTTTTCTTTTTAGCCTCTCCGCCACAAGCAGCCTTCGCTCACACTCCTTTGACATCAAATAGAAGACTGCATTGTCTACATAGAGTATTAACCCTAGTAGGCAGATATGCTTGTTCTTCCTGTGGCTACTTTTATTCACTGTGATTTTTATTGGTCACCGTTGTCGATTGAAAGCTGGTACAGTTAAGAAAGCTAACATAGGCCTGTCAAGGACTGCCGTCGTCTGTAAAGATAACACAGAGCCCAGATTACGATAACTTCACCTCTCAGCCCGACGCAACGCAACCATAGGAACACAACTCGCAATACGCTCCAACTCCTGGATACTATAGTACACCATACGAAACGCGATCCAACTACAGTCCCTCACTATCTATTATTGAGCATCGGTCCCAACCTGATTCTCTTAGGCTGCTGCCGTTGTCTGAATGGAAGGAAGGAAGAATATACGACCGGATCCACTGACCTACATCCACTATCGTATTGAGTGGCGAGTGACAGTTAATAATTAAGAGGTGGCAAAGGATACAGAGGATGACCTCGTTTTAGTAAGTCCTTTTAGCAGCTGTTCTGGGAGAAGAAGTTAGAAAAGGTTCTACAATGTAAAGTTGCCCGCCTGTAAGATCTCTGATGAAACTGAACAGTTCTGAATAGTTGCATGTAGTATTAACGAAAGTAACAAAGCTAAGGAGAAGAGAGGAAAGGAAAGAGAAGAAATGAGGGCATCGAGACGAATGTGCCTGGGTGCCTGGGTCACGTGGCTGCCACGTGACCCAGGGCTGCACCGAGAGCCTCAATTCGTTACACCGCCACCGTCAAGTGACAGCTGATAATACTGCTATTGTTGTATCAGTTAATAATCGTACCCAGCACAATCTTACTAAACATTATAACGATACCGATATCATTTGGACTGCTATCGAGAAGCAGCTTCTGAAGTAGTTAGGACTGTTCTCTTAAGGTAAGGAACTTACGTTAAAGGTCTGTTTCAACTACGTAGACGAACGTTACTCCTCTCCTACCACTGGTCGGAAAGGGGAGAAAAGAGGAAAGTCCTCTGTTACGAAAAGGATACTTGAAGAGAGAGACGCACAGCTTGATGCAGAGTAGTACGCTTCTGGACAAAAACCTACCTAGAGTAGCGTCTATAATCTAATATGATACGATTCTATAACTTGTCCCTTAGGTCCCTATTGGTAGGTGGGTCTAGCAGGGAAAAAGCACCACCAACTGAAAACCTACTATCTAAAGCGCCTCATTAATTATGTCGAAAAAGGTAGGGTATTAGACGGCTATAAGGTGTGCCAGAAATAGTACGTGAAGAGTGGTATATAGAAGAATAACAGAGACTGGAGAAGACTAGTTGTAAGGGAGGATATGATATCGGAAACGGAATACTATATCCACCTATCTATATTAATGTTTATCTATCATAGTCTGCTGCTACTGGGTTCGATATTTCTGCCACCTAGACAGATGCTGGCCCGAAGGTTCTAGACTTCTTTGATATTCCTGGGCCCAGGGATGAAGCGGTAAAGGAATACAGTGAGTGGCAGGTGTCGAATGTCACTGGTGACACGCTTAAGGCTGTATTTTGACAAGTCTGTGATGTAATGCTCGAGAATGGCCTTGACCTTGAGCAGGTCTATCAGGATCAAGACCTGGAGTTCTTCATTGGCAAGGGCATAAAAATAGGTATTGCTCGACGATTCGTACAAGACATTCAGCGCTGCATATCAGAGGCTGCCGGGTTTACCCCGTCATCGTAAACGGGACGATACATACCCCGGCTTCATGGACCCCACCTTAAAACTTCAGGTCGGTTCTCTGCTGCATAATCACAGCTAAATCGCCAACAGCACGAACTACCTCATACAGCTTTACATCTACGTATGTACATTACTCGTTGAGTTGAGATTACTCCAAAAAATAATGGCGCGGCTCTTGGCGGCTCGAGTAACATTGGGTCTCAAAATATGAAAGTTTGAAACTCAGTTATGACAGAGGGCAGTCCTCACTTACTCCCATTGCTGGTTATCATCTAGTCTGAAAACCCCCCTCATTGCCTGCACTGGCAGGCACAGATTGCTCCAATCAAGTGAACAGATGACTGATGATCCTCCCAGCTGGTTGTGGCCTATTCGCTCCCTGGATCCCCGGGCGCGTCTTGGCACTCGAGGCAGTGTAAACACGGAAATTCGAAGCCGCAGCAGCAGCGTGTTCGGTCGTTTTGCCACGATTGCCCCATCTTCTCTTCCAATCAATTCCCCCAGAAGTAAAAAAAACCCCCAGAGGCCCAGTGTCCTCCGATCCGCGGCCACGTCCGTAATTGAGAAGTTGAGCGCAACACCGCCCTATCCACTGGGGCGGTGCAAGTGTGGAACCCTACCCCAAGCGGGCTCCATACGAAAAGGAAAAACAATCGAGACCGGAGTGGATCTACATCCCAAAGGGGTCTGCTGCTGTCAATCTTGCGATCTTATGGGCGCGTCTGGTTGCATGCGATTTGATGAACTCCTTGAACGACCTCTTTGACTTGTTCCCGTCCCCCCCTCCTTTTGTCGAAAAGCCAACTCCAAAAGAAGAGCTGCCAGGCCTAGTTTTATTCCCGAGCCTGCAAATTCACTGCTGGAGACTATTCTCAATGGAAGGCACCGTCTATGACCCTTCATACAATATTGCGAACTACAGCATGGGATTGGAAGTCGACAATGACCGTATTTGCCCGACGGAATCGATATACTTCCATCAGCCAGCAACCATGCTAGAAAAGCCCCCAATTCCATGTTTTCATTGCCAAAGCCTACAGGGTTACCCGATGCCACGTCGATCGGATTTGAGCTTGACCCACATGTATACGGGGAACATCTGTCCACCCCACAACTTGTTGCCTGCCAGTGCGCACGAAGCTCATCCCGAATTAGAAGTCGATCTGCCAACCCAATCCGAGTAAGCATTCAGCCTCCTTTACTTCATGAATATGATGATCTGACCAATTTTATTCGGTCGGATTAGTAAGAAGAATAAATTATACTGTGGTTGGAAAAACTGCCCAAACTCCAGCGGATTTGGATCCAAATCGTCTCTGATACGACATATCGAATCAATGCATGTTTCACCTAACGGATTCCCATGCCCCCAGCCTTCTTGCAAGAAGATCTTCAATAGGAAGGATCGAGTACAGGCTCATTTACGACTTGCTCATAACATCCGTGGATAATCAATCGTATATTTGGGAGTTAAGATTGGAGCAGCAGCCGGTAATTTGAATTTGAATAACTTACTTACTTTTTTGGATTTAATCACACCAGAGCACAATTATCTGAGCAGATTATGAAGTACACGTTCCTGTAATAACTACTTTGATTCCACCTGTAAAGTTAAAGCAAACCTCCCCTTGAGGGCTTAAACAACACACCGTCCAGCTTACGCAATTCCAAAAAGAAGTGTTACTTCATTCGAGTTATCCCATTACTTTGGAATAGAGGACTAGCGCGATGGCAACATAAGACCTCGGCTTTGTCTCCGGTCGGAGAATGGTGTCCCAAGATGACGTCGATCATTAGCAGGGTTACGGTTTGTTTCCGACCTATGGGAGTTGAGGGTGCGTGGACGCTGCCGAACTGCTGCAAGTTTCTGCGAATATGGCCATTTGAGATGTAGTTAGTGACTGGCTCTCTATCATGTTTCGGATGAGATGCAGCTTGGAAGGGGAAAGTCTCGAGGCCATATTGCAAGGCAAGTGTAGGATGTCGCTCAAGAATCATTTACAGGTGAAGAATCCTGTTGTTTAGGGGGAGGAGTAGAGTAGTATCGATGTATAGCAGTTTCCTGTAATTTACAAAGGACAAGGTCCCACCGCGTTATGTAAAACACAGTTTTTATTCTAGGAACAAGGGGGATCTACGGAAATTCCCTATCTGGCTTAGCGTGCTTCAAATTAGGGTTCGGGAGTTAAAGTCGAAGAGTGTGGAGGTAAATCTGATTTCGAATATTACTGTATTGATATCCATTCATAACTTCCCACCAAGCTTCAAGTCTTTAGCTTAAGCACTGTTCCAGTCTGTTTCAAAAATATTCCGGGCAGTCTTAGGTAACTCTCATCAACGATTTTGAAGAACAAATCAAAGTTGTATATATTTACTCGCTAGCACCTGAGTAATCTACAATGGAATTTGTGGTATTTTACACGCGAAATAGAAGAAACAAGGGCTAAACAACATTTTGTTTCAAGTCGATTTAATATTGCGCTATGAGAGAACTTCTGAATTTCCGCAGTGGAATGTGTTTTAACTTGCACCTTATCTTGAAAAACTGCATCCCCCATTTTCATTCCGAGAGCAAATGTAAGATAAACTCAAAGATGCCTTGTAATAGAAATTGCTCACACTTTGCGCCGCTTTTGATCTAGAGAGGGTTCCAAAAACTGAATACGTCGCTTAGTCGCCCGAGAACAATAGCAAACTCTGCTAGGCGGCCATTGAGCCACCTTGTGATCCGCACGACCAAAATGTGCGTAGGATTGCTGCTCAGTGAGCAGCTCCTGTGCAGACTTTGGGAATCCGCCAATCTTATGGGAAAATCGGGTGTTGGCAATCTCGATAGATGTCATCTCGTCAACATTTGTGACACTGAATCTCACTGTTTTTCGATAGTAGCCACATAACGAGCAACCGTCATTCCCATGAATCCCACCAAGGTTTTGACCTCGAGCCGTTTGGAAATGAGCGTTTGGCATTTCCAAGAAAATTTGTTTCAGAATGATATTAGTATCTCCGCGCGAACAAAGTATGGATCCTTGACAAAGAAAATCGTCATGTCTCTTCACAGGCTCATCATCTAGCTCGAAAAAGAAAAAGGCCGAAGCCAGAATCGTTCTTATCAAGTGATCTGGAACACTGTAGCTTAGGTCTAACATGCTACTAATTTTCTCCACATCGTCCAGGCGGGGAAGTGGGCCATCGATCACCTGATTAAGTCTAAATATGTCAGACTTGGTATCACTTGGAAGATAATTGAGGGCTTCAACGAATCCCTGCTCTCCATCCATACAGGGAGAGGACAAAGTAGCTCGAATAAGTCTGGGAATAGAGCCATCACAAAAGACGTTTGAAGCGTCAGGAACAGAGTAGCAGCCGGATGTTGAGACACCAGTCCCTATTGAAAGAAGCAGATCATTCTTTTTCGCGCTAGGCCAAATCTTGTTTGACTCCTTCAAGGCAATAGCAAGGGGATTGTTAGCCCGCACCCCACCATCTTGAAGTAAACCAAATCCTGGTAGAAACTTGGTTCGGAAAAAGCTATTACTAGTTAGCGGGACAAATTAATACACGATATCGAGAATACTCACAATGGAGCCGCGACGCTACACTCAGCACTAGTAGGCGTATAAGTCAGCTCATTTTGTGTACAGATTTTCATTGGGAGAAGAAGATGTCCGGACAATGCAAGCCACTCACGCTTCCCACAAAAATGGATTATGTTTTTCGTCCTCTGGAAGTAAAAATTCGTAGGCGGAATTTTCAGTTCGTTGAGATTGACCCCTATAATTTCCGAATACACACGCCTTCCCGTCTGAAGCGCGACTTGTGATAATAGCCACCTTGCAGCCGGACGTTTCTGTAGTCGCAACGTCAAAAACCCTTCGTTTGGAGTCCACAGCTCCTTTCAAAACGGCAACCAAGTTTGCTGAGTCGTATTGGCCCCCTGTGAGCATTTTCGTAGCTAGCATAACAAGTTGTATACCACGAAACCCAGGGAACTTGCTATGGCTGCTGTAAGAAGTTTTGAAAATTGCCCGAGCTAGCGCTGGGAACCTCGAAAAGCTCAGCTCCGCAGGTGAGCCATTAAGTACCATGTCAATGTTGGACAATGCTCCTGAGACTATTCAGTGGACAAAAATCGCCAAAACATCCTCTGGAAGGAACATACCGACACTTGTCCCGCCGCAGAAGTCAGCTATCTGGGCTAAGGGAATACCGCCAAGCCGTCTCTCCAATTCTCGCAACAAGCCGAGTTGGATAATCCCCCGTACCCCTCCCCCATCCAAGCCGAAAATTACTGGCTGTTTTGTTGGTGGAAGTTGCCGAATGGTAAGCTTGCAAGGATCCTCGCATATCGGGCACCGCCACATTACAGTATGATACTCTGCTTCTGCGCTGCGTTCACCGAATACAACAGTGCAATTTTCGCATATCGCATGTTGGCAGGGCATCATGTGCTCTGGCGGCCGACACAAACAAATAAGACAAGATTTAGTTGAGCGTAGGTCACTCCATTGTGCATGAAATTCTTTCAAACTTCTGAGCCGGAGCGTAGCGGAAGCATTATGCGGATGCAATTTCGTAAATTCTCGACTGAACTCACGCATAATACCTTGACAATGGTCGGTAGACTCCAGAGTGGGATATGCAACCAGGCAGTGCTTTTCATAGATATCTCTGAAAACCAGCTCTGGTGGAAACCCTTTTAGATTGCGGTTGTGAGCTTATGGCTTATGGCCGGTCCATAGGGTTAGAATCATCGGTACTTACTGTGCATTTCTGGCGGATAAGCATCCATCAGGAGCGCTGAAGCAATGAATCTATGGAGCTCGGAGTCTGGACACCGTGAGGTCCCCATTTTCTTTTTAAATTCGACCAAACAATTAGACAGTGCGATGTTTTTAGGGAAATTTCCACGAGCAATCTGTAAGCAGTCGAGATCAAGCTTCTTTTGCCAATTCTCTTGCAGTTGTAAGTCAGCGTTCCAGAGCGTATTCAGGTGTATTGCTGAGAAGAGAACATTGTGCCCAGTTCGCTCTATTGTATTCATTTCATACAACTGGTCCATAATGAGACAGCGCAGGGGCTCAAATATAACCGGTTCAGATAGCCCGGAGCGGTGTCGAAGGTCCAGTATAGTTTGGTTTGGAAGCTCTTTCTCCGCCATGCTGAAGCAGCAGTCATTTGATTCTGAATGATCCCCATCTTCTTCAGTTAAAACAATGATAACACGCATATTCTCAGGGAGAGGCTGATCACCGACTGTTAACCTCCGACGTGGACCTTGTAGTAGGCTTTGCGCAGTCTTCATCTCCGAGGCGGAGTTTACAAAGAGACAGAAAACTCTTGTCCATGGTAAAACGTTATTCTCAATGATCTTCCATTTTGCTTCTACAGACGCGCTTTTGTCTGGAACGGGCAGGTGGAACCTTCTGAGGTTTTTAAATCGATACCTTGGTGAAATGGTATCCCCCAATCCGTTTTGGGTGAAAAGGTCGGTTTCGGCAAACATAACTGGTTGCTCCTTTTGCGCAGTAGCCGTGCTAAGGTGAAGGCGTACTAAGCCCCCAGGGCCCTTACGTGTAACATTATTGCGCGGGAATAGAGTCCTCAGTGCCCTCAGACGGCTCGTATTTCCTGCAAAATAGATCAAGAATGGATATTGTGACTTTGGATAGGTCATTTCTTGGACAATTTCGTGAAGCCGTCCAGTGTCGATGAGAGACCAGCCCTCGCCATCAAAGGCAGCATCCAGCCACGCCGCCATGGTGAATTTGGAATAACCTTCTGAAGACCCCCTTTACACCAGATTCTGGGAAAAGGTTTTATATTTAGCTTGCAGTTCTGTTGGGATACCGTGTTTGCAAAACAACAGAAGACCTCAAAATTGATCAGGTTAATTTTTAAACAGAGCGTCATCATGATTAAAAGGGCGACATCCCAATTCATTTACGTCACCTTTTTATGACCTGTATGAACCAAGTAGCCTCATTTTGATGAGATATATAGAAAAACAGCCTTCATTAAAATGTGTGCTTTAGAGAAATTCGGAAGGCTATAAGTAGCTTGTGGTATATATTACTCTATATTCCATTGCTATAGCTTTTGGTATTCTGCATTTCAAGTGAAAATGTTCACTCAAATGGGGCTTGGTACTCAAATGGGGCTTGGTGTGTCGCGGAGACGGCTTCCGCAGATAGCCAGAGATGGATTTGGGCATCATCAAAGCAACACGACTCATGAAAGCCATCCTCAGGAGATGACCTACGTTAGAATGTTGACAGAGGAAGATCAAATGAGTATGAAGTATAGCTTTATTGTCGGCGCCGCAAACTGGAGTCTACTAGCGGGATACCTTGTCATTCCCGGAACTTTCACATCGTTGCAGAAATCGGTTCGAGTCGAAGAGGCTTTGAAAGAAAATGAAACTGGCCGTTCCGTGCTACGAACTCTGCAGAATCCACCTTTACTTGCTATCGCTTGTTTCTTTCTCGCCGCTGGTTTTACTGCTTTAGCATGGCTACTTCGTTTCCAAAAGCTTCGGCGAAATTATACCTGGTTAATTCACAAGCTATTTACGTGAGTGGAAGCTTATAATTCAGAGACTTTTGATTCTGACAAAAGTTGTAGACCGATTTCTTTGAATGCAGCTGCTGGCTTGCTGACTACACTTATAAATGTCTACACGTCTCGTGGTGGCGGTTGGTCCGTCATGGCTATCGTGACCACCGTTGTGACCGGTTTCATTTTTGTGACTTCATCCTCCCTGCTCATCATATATAAATTTTGCATATTGCCAGAAATTATCCGCAAGGACAATATGCAGGAGGCTCAAATTCCTGTGAACCCTAAGAATAATCCGTGAATCTACAAGTATTCCTTCATAGATACAAACACCAGCCTCAGCTACATTTCAGCTTGCACTAGTATCTTTGTTGTGATATAAGGCCAGTGCAGAATATTAACGAAGTTAAAAAATCAAAAATTCTTTCGTTGACATCTGAACAAATTATCAAGTTGATCACATCTTATATAGATTTTGACTGATCTCCACTCAAATAAGAGCAGTCACTCTTCCCAAGAGTGAAAAGAAAATATAGTGGTACCTCTCGATAGTGGATCATACCATAGCCCGTGGCTGGATGGGCTGGTGGATTTAGCGCAAGCTGGTTGCGACAAAACTTGTGAAATCCTCTCGAATCAAGGACTAGACATTATTCGTCTGAGATGTGTTTTGTAGTAAAGACCACATGTAAATATTCTACATGATTACAGCAAATAATCGAAACTCAAAATCATTAAATTTTGTGCAGGTCGGAACAATTTCCATTCTAGAATGAAAACGGTTATGATGACGAGTCATTTCCCCAATGTAGATAGCTCGCTCTACCGTCGATAACTAAGTCTGCTTCTATCCTGATTATTGCTTCTTTTTCTTTGGCCCCCTAGCAAGACATTAGCTTAGGTAATATATTGATTGAGGTATACTAAGTTGAGGGCTGCTGTAACATGACTGTATCCAATCCCGTAATATTGCACCTACTATCTTGAATATTCGATGATCAACGTCGACTGCTTTGGTACTAGATAAGCGGTAATTCGCGGTGGTCCTCAACTTGATGTAACCCAGCCAATGCAAGGTCTGCGCTAAGGCGATGGCAGTGAGGCCCAATAAAGCAAACCGGTCATCAGAGGATCTGATCGCATGAAAGCAACCCGTGAATGGAAAAATGCTGTCGGGCATGTATGATGGATGGCGTCACGAATTCATTTTCTGAGGGAATCGCAGAAGCGAGCTTTTTATAGCCCAATCCGCCAATTAAATTTCTCCGGCCGCAGTATCTCTGAGATGAAGCAGCAAACAAAATCTCAATCCGGGAATGCGTTAAGCCTGCATATAATATCATTTATTCTAGAATTTGTTTATAGCCAATTTTCCCCATAAGATCTTTGCCTCTAGAACATTGAAACATTATAAAAGATCTCACATCAACCGGTTCAAGCATCTTGTGAGCGACGATTATTTTTTCTAACTCGCTAGTGAAACTGTAGCCTTCGGCTCCAGGTCCATTATAATGCAAGCAGGACTAAGGAGTTCTTCACAAGTTTGCAATAATTATACTAAAGCATCATATCCTGGGCACCGCCTCACGAAAGTCATTCAAGGGCCCTCCAAAAGCCTCTGTCTTCCCAGGCTTTGCGAGTCAGACAACATTTCCTCCGTGCTGATTGTGAGACAAGAATCTCCCTGGGATACATACAGACGAGTTGCTACGTGCGATATTGCAGGAAATGTTATAATCGCTGTTCGGTACTCTCGGTCTGATCGCATGAAAGCAATCCGTGAATATCCCAAACGTGACGCAGAAAGATTAATTCACATCTTTGGAAGCGCTACAAACTTAAATGTCCTTTCTGTTCGGGAATGCTATATATACGGTGATTCAGTATATGCTTTGGCTGACAATGTTCCGCTGGCATTAGCCCACCTTGTCAACTGTAAAAACTTACCCAAGTGAAGTAGAGTTGGCATCAATTATGGCTCAGGCAAGTTATGTATAACATTGCAATTCACCTTCAGACTAACAAGATAGGTTCTCCACGGTATCTGCTTCTTGATTGAAAATGGATTAAGCCATCGCGTCTTCAGTTGCAAGTGCATAACCCTTGGCTTGGATGGTGTAATAAAAATAGGTTAGTTAGAAAAGTAATAATAAACAGTCAACTGATGATGAGATAGCCTGTCTGGAGGATTGCCTAGAAGCTCCATCCACCGAAGCCGAGACCGTATACATTGCGACTCTGCCATCTATAACAATGCAACTGATGCAGAAATATGAGAAGGAAGAGGGGGTTATCGGCATTGATGACCTCGATCGCTGGCCGGTGGATTCCGAAGCGTTTGCTTTTCTATCAGCCACTGTATCAACTAGGTCTATTGCCTCGTTGCAGAAGGTAAGTCATTTTGATAAAGGTAGTTTGAAGATATTAACTTTGATAGAACGTTTTGGTGTCAAATAGACATGAGCCTCGAAAACTTGTTGTCTTGGCGAGACTTGTTTTAATAGACACTCAAATTTTGTGCATACATGAATGATCATCTGCATTGCCTTATCGCCCTTTCAGATAAACCATGTTTCTGAGCACTATTTTCCTAACTTTATGTTTTGTTAATACGATACGCTTGTCTGACGTAAAATCTCTTTTTCACAAGCGCGTGTGATATTGAATCCACGATATTATATCTATGCCATATTTAACATCATTTTAGTTGTGGTATCAAGACCATATAGTTGCTTACAGTTTGCAGGTTTCAGTGGGTTGCTTCCGGAATGCTTGCTTGCAAATTCATTGCTGATTCCAGTTGACGTGAATTAATGCTTCTTCTACAGAATATGGTGAAGCGAGGAGATAAGCGGATATGTAGAATTGGAGAAGACATATATTTTGGCCCAGACTGTGGCGATTTAACGCCAATCAGCATACATAACGGTATTGCATTCTAAATGATGCGGGACTTCTTGCCACTTGAAGTCCGAAGTCTTGACTTTTCTGTCTTCACTGGGCACTTCCCACGCTTTAGTGTCATGATAGGGTCAATCGGATCTGCTTTAAAAATCACTAGGTTGGTGCCGTTTGGAGTATATAAAAATTTGTTATTCCTTGAACGGAACTTCTTGGTGCACTGGTCGATTCTTGTAGTGGTACTGTAGTCGTCGCTAGGAGAAAGACGGACTGATAAATCGTAGTTCACATGATTAGGCAAAGTGGCCGCTCTTACTTTGGTGCTAATAATTTTTATTTGATGGAAGGTGCAAACAAGATGCCGGTGGGTAAACAATGACGAAATGGTAAGTTACACATTGAGCAGTCAATTCAGTACTATTTCGTGCTCCCCACAAGAAACGCCTTTTGGCATTCACCAAGCCTCCTCGTCCTCCCACGAGTACCACAGTACAAGATACTGTATGACTTGTTTCCCATTCCTATAGACAGATCTCTCGGTCGTGGTTCTCATAGGATATTTTTCCGCCAAAGCAGGTAGTTTCTGTTCCGTCAGCCTCCCCTCCAAGAGCATGGAGACAATCTTTTGTCTTTACCTCGTCTATATCATGATATCGCCTTTCATTCCCCAAAAAGGGGTTGGAGCAACTAGCCGAAGTTATGCTAGCCACGTACGACGTTGCTTCGGAGTCTGCAACGACAAATGCGCGATCTTCGCTTGTTTCCGATAGTTCATACTGCGAGCTTGCTTCGGTATCGCTGTCATTAGACACACTTGTAGCGTATTCAGATGTTGATGTCTCGGATGATTCAAGGTTGTAAAGATTCCCCTCCGCGGGAGGTTGAAGCTCGCTAGACATGATAGATTGGAAACGGGGCTTCTTTTTCAGCTTCGCTCTAATACATGGCATACAGCTCCCCTTAATATAGTTTTGGAGGAAAGCAGCTCGCGGCCATCAAAGATCCAAATTGAATCTCGTGCATTCTACAATTACTTGGTACATTGACACTGCTATTGATGAGTGTAGACTGAAGGCATTTCTTCACCACCAGCCCCTTGATCACCACCGCCCCCTTGGTGGTCACCCCGTCTTGGTCACCACCCCGTCTTGGTCGCCACCGCTCTCTGCCTGGGGTCCAAGTGAGGCTTTTGGTCTCGCTTTTCTGAATGGTGTTCGTGTATATTGAGATTTGAAATCATTAATTCGACCAACTGAATACGATTATTGAGGCCAATTCATTCGAGGCTACCAGCACCAGTAGTTTTCTCATCATACAACAAATTGCTTCATGGGATTAATTTTATTCGATATCTGTCAACTGCGGCAATACGGGCTGTAATTGAATTGATTGGGCTGAACGAATTCTATGGTTAATTTTGATTCTTTTTCACTCTAAACGCGAATGGTGTCGCATGTGTACTGTAGACATCATCATCGTATCTGCCATGGAGTTCAACAGAATAACATCAGCTTCAGTACCCGTTGTGGGTGTGAAACCGTTGCCTTCTCTGCCATACGTGATCAGATTTTCGAAAATAATGCGTATTTTCCGACACGGGAGCTGGTCACATTCTATTGTAATTCAGGATCTATTGACGCCTGCGGTGAACCCACACTCCAACCTCATTCTTAGTACGGAGGTCATGAAGTAATCTGTTGCCTCAGAGATATGTCTCATCTGCGTCTACACACTGGTCCATAGATTGGCACGAAATGTAGCGCCGGCTGGTCGTGGCAATACTTAATTGATACCCCTCCCCATTTACTCTCCTTGTGTTTCGTGTTGAATTAGAGCCTCGGAAATAGACGGTGCTAACTAAGACTAGCCAATTCACCTCGGCACAGAACCAGTGGGAATTTGCATGCCTCTTTATGAAAAGGCCTTTCTGCTGCAAGTTCAACTGGCGGCTAGCCTCATGTATTTGATATATCGTCTTACCAGAGTCACAAGTTCATTAGCTTGATAGTCACTAGTGGTATCTCAGCACCCACTTTACATCCTGTGTATATATATCTGTGTAAACAAAGACCCATGATGATCTTCAAAGTATTTTCTTCAATTTTTCAGATCCAAGCACCATTTGTCGATTTCACAATGGAATCTCCACGTAAGCTAGACTACTCGAGCCGGCCGACGAAGCGAAAGCGTCAGTCGTCACAGAGAGAGCAAGACACCCAACCAGACCCTCAACGTGGTATGAACGAACCGACTTCTTTGATACGAAGCAAACAAAAGGTGAGACCATTCTTGCTTTTTAGCGGGACTTTATCTCATAACTTCCTCAGGCAACTGGAATCACCACGGGCTACTCTCTAACAGGGGAATTGAAACAAATCCTACGCAGCGCTCCTCAAAACGCTTCGATGGCCCTCAGAATGCTTGATCTCTATCTGTGTCTATGGGAATTCTATGTAATCGACTCCGCTCAGAAGATCCGTCTAGAAGATGAGCATCGCCTGCTGCAAGACTCTAACGGCTGGCTGCTGCGCCAGAAAGAACAATTGATTCACACCTGCAATTGCCAAGCTCTATTACTTTGGGATCGTCAACAGGTCTTTCAAAATATGCAGGAAGGTCTGGTCGCGATCATTCATGGAAGTGAACGAAGTCCCTGTCAGCCAGGTGACCTGCCATGAAACATAACCGACCATAGCGGCAGCTTTTCTACTTCCCTTGATATACAGACTATAAATTCATGCGTTAGTTAGATGGTACTTACTGTATGCTTCATACAATTTTCAACGTTTTTGATGGCCAGTCCACCACCGTCCCTCCCAGACGCTTCTGTCACCTGAAATCACACTTTCCATCAACCACTGACTCTACAGAAAGAATATGCCAATCGAAGCGAAGCCAGGCGAGGCTTTCTATCGATTCTAGGAAATCGACTGGAATAGCGGTTGCGAGCACAAAGAAGTTGGCCAAGTGTGTAATATAGTCCCTCTCAGTCAGTTCAGAGCTTCCAGAGTGAATTTACATCATTTTGTTTCTCTCGGATGCGATATCACCAAAACTTTATTTTCGGTTCTCTATTAACCCACGCAAAAGCAATACCCCCACGTGCCTCCTCTACACCTTGACCATTTGCAAAGTATGTGATTCCGCTATACATACCGTTGTCGATTGGTATTTGAATTTTGATCACAGTAGTATATATTCTTACTGGTGGGTCTATATCGAATTGTCGCTATTTAATAGCAAGAAAGTAACTGAAACGAAGACCTAGCTTCTCAATAAGTTTATTATCGTACAGAGAGTGTGTGTATGTGTGTGTCTGCGTGAAATCATTTACAGTACCACGGCCCCTCGCGAATTGATTCTCAAGCTCATCCACCAGGCTGAGAACTGATTTTTTTTGGTCTAATGGGAAAATCTATATCGCGTACGATATGCAGGAGATGACAACTATATATCCTATCATATACATGTAGAGTAATCCACTTCCTAAAGACGAATTTAAAGCCTCGTCAAGGCCTTCCGTGCCTTGATTGCCGTTTTAGACAGCCCTGGTGACACGCGGCTGCGAAGCCGCTGTGACACCTCGGTAAAGTCCAGCACACTCGACAGTCTTTTGAACATATCTTCAACTTCTCTCCTTGAGATACTTCTACTCAGCTTATACCATTGATGGATGGCCATGGAACTGGGGTCTACTATACCCTGAAAGGCATGATACGGAACCATGGTGGGCAACGGAACCAAACGTTGAAATCCAACGGTCGGTCTTTCAACATGTTCAATGTGCGTATTATATGCTCAAAATTAATACACAATGGATTAAAGCTCTGCCTTTTGTTTACAATTTTTGGCAGATTCTGTTTACTGCGCTATGGCACACTGCTTGTTGAAATAAAATTGGAGTTATGAATTTAGCCACAAGGGCTTTGCTTTTTGTACCCATAATCTGTACTCCAGTTCAATGTCTCCATAGTGGTTCCGCTATTAAAAGCATGTCACTGTCAGTTGGTAGCTGCAGATAAACACATAATTTTCACAGTAAAGAGCGACAACATCTCAATCTTACCAGCTAATCTAGCTTTGTGAGACTCTGAGCTGATAAAATGCATTGGTTGCTCGGAACCAGACTATGGGTCAATGCCAAGTATCTTCCCATCTTCCTGGTTTGGAAAAACATATTGATAGTGGAATTCCTAGAGCAAAGAAATCAGCTACATCTTTTAACTCCCATCGCAAGAACACCAAACACTCCAGTATCCGAGAACCCTCACGAAGAGAGACCACTGCTGAATCTGACGCTGAATCATCTCCGATAGTGGCAAGGTCCAGCGAGTTACGATGTACGCGCTGCCATGGTCGCCGTTCTCCGTCCTATCACTGCGACTATTTACGTGACCCAGTCGTCTTCCCTGCGGCTGGGATTTGTTCAAGACGTCGGACGGAATGTGCGGCTGCTAAGAAACAACTCCGGGCTGCTACAACTCTTCCTATGATTCCCGAATTGGCCGCAAATGAAGCACTGTAGCAGCTCACGGTTTCTTGCGTTGCACCATCGAAAGCTTACATTGCGTCTGTGCACAGCAGCAAGGGCTGGATTTGTAAATATGCAGCGTACTGCGAATATTAAGAGCCCAAGCATCATTTTTCTAAGGAATTTAGCTGTTCTCTGGAGGCGGAAGAAGTCCGAGAAGGAAATATCGAGCAGGGCGAGGTCATTGTTGCTAAATAACGTGTCAAATGAAATTCAGCGTGCGCTGGTCGTTTCCCGATTATTCAACGACGAGCAAGTGCACTCATGGCGACTTTGGGGCCCGTCTATGAGAGCCAAATTCGCTGGCTTATACCCTGGCTTCAGATCTAGTGTTGTTCCTATTGCCACCACGCGACCAGGAATGGTATGGCCCAAGATCCAAATCCAGAAGTCGCGGGCCGTGACCAAAGTGGAGTCGAACCGTTTTCCTCACTCTCTTACGCATGCTGGGGCTCGTACACACTATCCAACAGATGATTAGATTCAGAACGTCTGCCTATTAGGAAAGAGAAAGAGATTAAGAACAAAGACGACGCACTTGCCACGGCCATAGCGCCCAAGCGGTGATCGAGATACTAAGGTATCTCGTCCTTGACATTGAGCGATCCCTGGTAGTAATGAACGCGCGTTCTAACTTTCCCCGCCTCGGCTTGTCCTCGAAAGATACGGAAACTCAGGATCTGCTCTTCATTCAGCATGCTACTCATATCGCCATCGCTAAATACTTACATCGTATCCACCAAACCGAGGGGCGTCCTTATCTAACAGCCGTTGTCTCCAGCTCTTCCACCACTCGGGATACTCTAGAATGCGATCAGTCTTGTGTTCTAATATGAGTAAAAATGCACCCGGTCATAAGACAACAGCGGGCTTACCAAATGCGCTTTCGTGCTCCCACAAGACGTATAATTTTCGCACCATTGCTTCCCGCCGAATACTCGCATTCACTAGCATTTCAATCAAGGACAGAACCCGGAATAGTCTAATATCCTCCACCACAAATAACACCGTACCATACTGGTTAAGACGGGAGGGTCGGCTATAGGGGCCGAGGACTATCACCGGTTAGTGGATAGGACCGCTCGAAACGGTACGATAAAGTTCGGCAGTCAGGCCTGCCCGCGGACGAGCCAGCATGCGTATTATCTTCTTGGGGTACTTGTCTTCCCAGTCACAGATAGCCACATAGAATATGGGGAGCTGGAAGAACGCCCGAAGGCCGCCGTGGGGCATCCAGAGCTACAGATACTAGCCAGGGCTGATAGACTAGTCGGGCGGTGCCAGGATCTTAAGCAGAAGCAAGCCATTAGAAGCACTCAAAACGACTTCTCGCCGATCGCCTTTCCAAGGCCTCTGCGCGAGAAAGGAACTAATACAGGCCATAAGGCTAAATCCTGACCACAGTAGAATAGTCCCGACCAGTTACCAACGGCCAGGGCCTTGTCTCTTAGCCAAGTGGTATGCAATAGCACCAACTGTGGTTGCTATCAAGAGATAGTGTATGGATAAGGTTACTTGGGGGTAGCGTTATCGGATTGGTGCCTAGGTTACGAACGCCGTCAGAATGAGCGCGCCCACACCCTAGAACATTAGCTTAAACCACCGTAGCTTTTCGCGGATGACAACTCACAGTTATTAGAAGGATATACCGTGGAGTGGTCAGGAGGGATAACCTGTCAGTTAAGACTATGAGCGACCCATGGATAATTGAGTGCATCAGAAAAAGACGGCCGGTCCATCGATGGGCCCACGCAAGGGCCTGGCGATCTACGAGTAGCAAAGTTACGGGGAGCCCAAAGTTAAATCCAGTGCACAATGGTATCATATGAAATACCGCGAGGCTACCGGCTCTTCGTTGTGTAGTTGCCAAAGAATCCGCTCTTCGTTGTGTAGTTGCCAAAGAATCCGCTCCTAACGTTAAGACGAGTATATTGGCGGCGGATAGAATGGACACTGCAAGGGCCTAGCGACACGTCGTTATATCCAGCCAGCTGAACACGCGCGGTACAGAGATCAAAACGAAATGCTTCCAATGATGAGGTATGTGGATGTGGATCGAACACCAGAGATTTAGACTGTATTGGTTTTGCACCCACAGCCAGGCATGTCTTGCGGTGGCAAACAATAGCCAGGCAGAGATCACTATCGCACAGCACACTGCATACAGCTCAGACTTTGAGAAATGGGAAAGCCAACTATGCACTTCTGATGTATTCACAGGCATTATGAAGGGTATTAGTATGTCTAGAAGGGTAGTCAAGTGCATCTATGCTGGAAGGATCCTTGTTGTGGTCCGATATTGCTGTCATGCCGTTAAAACCACGCGCATACTTATTGCATTGATAACGTAAATATTATTTGTACATGCACCGTGGTCTTTCAGCTTCCTTATATCATAATCGACTCGCTCAGCTAGCGCGTCCACCATTCGGCATTATGCTTGAACTGTATTGGTCTACCTCACAAACTTTGTTCCATGACTCAAGTGAATTCCGCGGCCATCCGCAAGGATTTTTGAAATCTCCACAACTTAATCACCATCAAGTTTTGGTACCAGTCGGGTGATCCATATAGCCAGCTTGTTTTCTCAAGTCTCGATTCTGTGCTTCAAGCACCTCAATATACTCCCGCATACCTTGAATCTGCTGCTGCATCTGCTGCTGCAAGCGAATAGCATGCCCCCCAGTATCCTGTAGACGATTTCTCAAGATGTCATTTTCAGATTGAAGGTGGGAGACCTCCAACTGAACTTCAACAAGGATTGAAAAGAAGTTCGATTTAGTTGGTGGCGGAACTTCGGACATTCAACTTTTAGTTATCACTCGCTCGGGCTATGAGAAGATTGACTCACTTTGGTGATAATCTTGTCTCCGTGTCGAGGAATGGTAAGGCCTTTGGTTTTTTCTTTGGTCCATTGTGCTTCAGAGACTATCGTAGGAGCCTAGATCCGAACGACTTTGGGTTTGACAGAGCTGGATGAGCTGATATGAATGGCGAGGCGAGCTCAAAGCAGCAGAATTCGATGATTAAGTAGTGTGATTTCTGAAGGGCACCAGTTGGCCATTTAAACCTCGATTCGGTCAATCCATGTGGATCCGCCGAGCACCGTGCGGTGTTTGTGCCAGAATGTGCTCTCCCAGGATCAGTAGTCGAAGCTCCTGGGGCCGTTCACCATCGTTCCCAGGACCCTTCGTAGTAGTCCCTAGGGACAAGCGGGCCCTGGGAGTGACGTTAGTTGCTCCTAGGACCGCAGCGTGGGCTCCTCGGAATGTTGCCACTAGCCCCTAGGAGACGCGTTGTGGCTCCTAGGTCACTTTTGTACCCAGGAGACATAAGTTCTCCATAGATCTTCCCCATGCCTTTTCGCTGCTGGGAGGCAGCTCCTTAGCCCCAGGAGCATGATGCCGCTACATTCTTAAAGAGGCCGCGCAAAGAGTTTTCTACTCTTGCAGCCTATTCTATGGGAAGTTCCGCCTTCTGATTTGCTATGCCCGACTTCTCGTTAGATCCTGGTATATCATTCCTCCTTGCAAACTTTTGGTTCAACATCGTCTGGGGGCTCCTGCGTTTACGAGTTGATACTGTTGGATTCGTTACTATGGATTCCTTACTGGGGATTTGCTACTGATGCTTATGCCTCTGATTCGCCTTGTTTACCTATTTACATCTCTCATCATCTAGTCCTCTCCCATCGTCCAATTCTCCAACCATTGACTGAAATCTAGCTCCTGCATCACGATCAGATTGAGGATACCGCATACCAAAGGGGCATCATGTATATACCGGACTCGTAGACTGTAGTGCTTTTTGTTTCATCAGAGGCTCTCCAGTTAGACCAGGTGAAGCTTGAATCCTCCACATAGGGTTGTATTCGAAGGCTGGCCTAAGGTAACGGCAGCTCGGGGTATTATTCGGAGTGGTCTGTGCCGATGTCTCTTGATGGATTCCGAGGGCGAATTGAAGCACCATGCTAAGGCTTTGGGTTTGGGTAAAACGATCAGCAGCCATCTGAGATGCGAAGATGTGAAAGATGTTGCGGATATGGTATACAGGAGATCAGTAGCTAGATACTTATACAGCACGGCCAGTACGTTAATCGTAACCTTCCTTTGTGCTTGATGCTGGTATCTACGTCATGTCGCGAATCTCACCCTAGCATGTATTCTGTTCTTGGCAGTTCCTGGGCTTCTTGATAACTGGCACCCTACTCCTGGGAGCTAAGCTTGGTGACATAGCATGGTTACATCAATGCGAAGGTCATATCGCGAAGTGAAAGTGAATATAATCCGAATTTGCCAGTATGATTAATGTCGCCCGTTTCGCTTCGCATTCGGAATGGACTTGCTTATTATTATGGATTTAATTTCCATCACCTGTGTGCTCCTTGCGAGTCTCATTCGGGCTGTCTAATCCTATCACTCTTTCTCGCAGTACAGGTTGTATCGAATGGCCGACCTAGTCTCCTCCGCATCTCTGTGTTTCGCACTAGCTATTCTTGTATCACTGAGGTGGAGTAATGCTGGTGTGCTTTGGACACCAGTCTTATCTGATATAACGGCAGTATTTCTATCTGTATAAATAGTAAGTCGAGAAACAAAATCTCTCTCAGAGGTTCAAGCCGCTTAGTGTTTGTGGAACCTAACTCATTTTCAACAGTATCTTCGCATCGTTTTCCTTCAGCGCCGTCTCGCCGGTGTACCGCGGCAGTTTGTTACTCTCTACGCTCTGCTCGCTGTGTGCTCCGGCTTGGCCAAAATTACCGCCGCAGTCATCGGCACCTTTCTTGCCCCCCAGCTTCATTTAGTAGTGCTTTTTCTTCTTTGCACAGACTATATTGGTGCAGCAAGTTGGTTTTGGTGGCAGAACAAGCAAATTGCACCGGATTTAGGGATACGGGCTCATGTTTAGTCTATCTCGTACTACGTTTCTGTCATGGCCATGGTGTGGCTCGTGATTGCGAGTTTGGCTGCGTTTTCGGGCACCTGGCTCCTTTTACAAGAGGTATGTCTTCGGGCCACCTACGCAAGCCCACATGCTAATGTGCTTACAAACGCAGCCCCAGGTCTTGATACTCGTTCTTAGCATGACGTTGTAGAGTATCATTGGAGACGTTGCCGCAGGTGACAGCGTGATGGGTTGGCATGGATAGCTTATTCCAAGAGCAATACCGAGGCAACAAATAGCGGAAAGAGACAATAAATCAATGCACTGTATTTTGCTATAGGTGTAACTCACTCTGTTCAAGGCCAGAAGTTGCTGTGTCGCTGTAGTGATGCCACCGGCACCTCATTCCCAGAGGCTTTCGACTTGATCGAACTTCATGCCCTATCCTTGCTTCACGGAAGTTCTTCAAGTGCTTCTGGCGGGTTAGCTATACGGCTCACCGGGCGACTGTTCCACTCTGAGAGGATGTCAAGAAGTCTGCGCCGAGAGCTGTCCAGCGATTGGTCGAATGCGTACAGCCGGGCGAGCTGGTCATCTTGCTGTAGCCTCAGGCGGTGGCCTTCCTGACAGAGCTGAGTATTACTGCTTCGTAGCTCTTGATTCGCGGTTTCGAGTCGCTGAACATCGACGCGCTTGGCCTGACACGACTCCCAGATGCGTCCGTAAATGCTCAACAGACGTGCGCCTTGGGCGGCCAGCTTGGGGTCATCCCGCTCCAGCCGTTGTAGAACTTCTAAGGCGGGCTGGAATGGGTCTTCGATCGGATCGCAATTTTCGCTCGAGGGAGGCTGCGAGGGAGGCTGGGGGTGAGCGAGTGCGCCATTTCAGTCACGTGGTGCCTTACCGGTGGAGTGGCTTCGTCGAAAGCGCGCGTCGCGTCATCCCCGATCACTGGTGCAGTGGACGTCGCTCCAAGCTCTTTTGACTGCTCCGCGAGGGCGGGGTCGATTGGGATATCCATAGTGGCTATTGAATTCTGCCATGGCTCTGATGCTGTCTTTTTATAGTCATGTTCTGGGGCTATAAGAGTGGCAACTGACTGGCGGTGCGCTCGTTGTCCAACGGACTCGGTGAAAGACCTCAATTTTGTCTGGCATATTTGGCAAGATATTGTGCCAAGGCGATCAAGTGCAATCAGAAAACAGATGATCGGTGATGAAGTGAATACCGCGCCAGAGAGAAGGGCAGCAGTAGCGGAGCCTGGACTATATGCTTGTCCACTAAATCCAGTTGCTGTTCTGCTTTTGCACCAGTCTTCGTGGCAGACAGTCCAGTCTCGATGAAAGGCTTTTTCCTCATGCTACGTGTTTCAGTCATGCACAAACTCTGGTCATTACAGTATTATCACCTACATACGTACACTTTCCGGTAATGTACAGTAGCACTGCTCCCCTTTCTCGAGAGTTACCAACATCTTTACTGAAGATAAGATCACTCGATTTGAGAAAGACATTGGTTCAGAGCGAGGCTACTCTACGGCATTCCAAACTACGATAACACGTACACTCTATCTTTCCTGTTCTGCAGCATGTGCTTTTCCACGCGAGGCGAGATGCCTGGCCGTCGGCGTGCTACAGTCTACGAAAGGCTACCGCGGAAATGGGACTGGATTTATGAGGCACTCGACGCAATTTTATTCGTACTGGGGAATGGGTCCATTCTATGTGGCGAGTGAGTGAGTCACAGATAGCGTTTGATATCACCACATAATTGACAGTCCTTGTCCCTCGCTTTGCTGACGATGGGGCATGCGGCGCAGCCGTCGCATCCACCTCAATCGCACATGCTCGCGCTGAACTGCTACGCTCTCATGCTCGTACTGATCGAAGGTTTCTCTTTCACATGGATGCGCCCACTTTGAAGACGTTTGGGAAGAATGTCCTGAGCGAGTTCGTGGACGATTGATTTTACCAGCGCTAGGTGGTCGGGTTGCCCAGTGTTCTGGCTTTGATTTTTCCTGACGGCTCCCTGTGTGGGATGTAGCCCTAGTTTCCCACAATGATTGGCTCCTGTTGGCCTGATCTAGCAAAGGTAGCGTGTCCGCTTCGTTCCGCACGCTTTGACGTGTGCGTCGGTGGGAGGATTGGGCCATTTTCAGAAATACAGTATGACTGGAGGGATCGTGGTTTTCTCGGGTAACAGTGCTTATTTGTATACGACGCTATGGAAAGAAGTCGATATATTTATTTCCTCGGTCTTTACAAGACAAGCGTCAAATACTGTGGGCCTTTGTTGTGGCAGGGACATCCGATTTCCATGCCTTGTACTCTAAATACAATTCCTTTTGTTTCGGGGAAGCAAAGCCTAAAGGCCATCCGATATTTGGCCTATTGCCGATACGGCAAAAGATCAGATTCAGTTCTCCCAGTAATTCTCCCCGATCCTTTGTCGAGCTGCATTCTATGCCTATCTTCTCCAACCGACCAACCAATTAATGATGCCGATTGAATTCTGATTCGGCACCACTCTAAAGGCGTAACTAGGAAAATCTTCAAGTGGGTCTTGCCAAGACCTGTAGATAATCCAAGAAAACAAATTGGGCTGTGTGAAAGGAAATCAATAAGTCGTACCAGCGAAGCAGGACGTACCTCTAAGTTGGTTTCTTACCCCGTGAGGATCAGACGGAGTTCTCTGGTTTCGTGAAAAGGAGGACGCTCGGAGGTGTCAGTCCTTAACGTCTTTCAACGATCGACTGCAACGAGTTTCACGATGAACGCTCTCAAATGCTTCCTTCTGCACTCCTCTCAACGACTGCCTGAAAATGGTTTAGTTAACTATTCCCGGTCCATTTATTCAACGGACTTATACATTATACCTTGAAAATATTAAATTGATCGTTTCAACGACTCTAAAATGATTTTTTCCAACGATTGCTTTAAACAGCACCCTGAAATAAATGCTTCAATGATTTTCTAGAATTAATCCGCTTCAAGGACTTTCACCATGACTGCCCTCAACTGCTTCCTTTTGGCACTCCTCCTGAGATTGGTTTGGTTAACTATTTCCGATCAATTTTTTCAACGGGCTTATAGATTGTTTCCTCAAAATATAGAATTAATCGTTTCAACGAATTAAATCATTTAACGATTGCTTTAAACAGTTTCCCTGAAATACTTCAACGATTTTATGGAGTTAATGGGTTGGGTAATTCTTTTACCAAACCTCCGGCAACTCTCAACACCTTCAACGATCCTACCGTTTATTTCTATGATTATTGGACTGATATTCTTCAACGACTCCCTTCAACGATTAGCTTCACCAACTCATTGAATCGACTCTGCTGACAATTCTCTCGGTAGGTCATTTCACCCACTCTTTTCAACGGTATTTCTAAATTTGAATCCGCCGTCAGCTCCTTGATTACTCGTTCAACTGCTTTATTAAACGAAATCTGCCAACAAAGGCCTCCGTTGGTTCCTTTAATGAAGCTCAAGCTTCTGTCTTTAAACGAGCCATCACCGATACCCCACCCCGGTTAGTTCCACCGATGGAATTTCGCTATTCCTTTAATAAATTCTAAACTCAATACTTCAACGGCTTCGTCCAATCAAGCCCTTCAACGTCTACCTAGAATTCGTTCAGTCAACGGCCTTCAAAATTTAATATTCTCAATACGGATCTAGAATGTTTTCTTTCAAGCGACCGCCTTAATTGATTTACCAACGATACTCTCCATCGGCTTCTAGACTTTGAATATTATTGCCAACGGCTCCTCGGAATTAACTTCAACGACTCCCCGAAATTATTCATTTCCCACTTACCCCCTCAAAAATCCCTTGACCGATTATTATCTTGTTCCTCAACGAATTTTCGCAGATTGTGCCCCGAGGTGACTTCCAGGGATGGCCTTCAATAATGGCAGGGTCCAGGACAGTCCTAGAGCTTCACTACCATCCCCAATCCTACTTTCTATGCAAATTGTTCCTCAGAAGGCTTTCCATTGCCGCTCGTATTTCCTAGAGTCATGGCCAAAAACAGCAACGAGAAGCGTGCTCAGCTGAAACAGCAATGTCGAGAAGCTATGTCAGCCCACATTTGTAAGTGCTTGCCGTGCATGCCGTGCGCACCCTGCTCGCCTTATCAGACTCGTGCTACGAATAAATGCTGAACAGCGTAGATGATCGCCTTGGCCTCGTCGTAGAGCCCAGCAAGGTCCGACTCCAGCCACCCGTCGAGGACAGGTATGTATGGTCGGTCACGGCATCCCATGCTTCTCTCTTGAAGACATGCCTGAGCAGCGGAGGCGTAGGCTTTTTTCAGGCCATTTGTAGGAACTTGGCCGGTCGCTCGAGGCCGTCAGTCCGGAATCTCTTCAGAACGGACTGTCGCAGGCAGTGGAAACTCCAGGAAATGTACGTGTTTTTGCTTTTCTACGAGTAGATGCGTAATTCGCTGAACGGATGGAAGGATACCTCGGAGTCAGCCAGCAAAGAGGAGGGTTCGTTCACAGCGAAGATCCGCGAACTGGAAGCAGCCAATTGCTATCTTCGCCGCGAGTTAGATTAGACGAGCACGCGCCTCGAATCAGCTCTGGACGAGGGTCGTACGCTACGAACCAAAAGCTGCATGCTTGAACGCGAGGTAGAGACTAGCATGTCAACGGTGCAGCGGCAAGGGGAGGAACTGGCACGCTTGAGAGGGGGGTTGGTCAGGTGATGCAGGTACTGGGGAGCTTGTATCGACAGAATGACGTTGTGCCTCGGGAGACGAGCGCGGCGGCAGAGCCTTAAAAAGGAAGGCTGCGGTTCAACCCGTCATCTGGTTGCGTGATTCGTGCTCGCGACACGCCGAGGTGGCGGCTGGTGGGTTGGGAGGCCGCCATCTATTGTCAATATACGGGACGCGACAACTAACTGTGTTGCTGTACCCCTCGCACTTTTATGGGTTTCGTCTCGATTTGGCGTAACCACGTTATATCTAAGCTCAATAAGTTCAAAAAGCCGGAATGGATACTATTTACTTCATTAGAGAATGGAAATTGTTGTAGCCAAAAACATTCAATATTGATTCACATCGTGTATCTCGAAAATATATATACCTAACTCAATCTGGTCTACAGAAATTACTTATCATCTCGACGACATCTACCAATATGCGGAACCATTGATAACTTCTCACAAATTCCCTTAGACCTGTCTGCTGATAAAAACAGTTTTTAATCCTCGCAAACGATGTACAAAGCTGCAGAATAACGCTATTCCGGGCACAATACCCAGTAGTCCCCGTCGTAGCGGGAGCGATCAGGCCGTGCTGTGACCCACCGCCCTACACCGCCACGTATCAGCCACAAACACTAGACCGCGTCATGGCTAGCTTCGGAGCGCGACACCGAGACCAGCAGACGCGTCGATATCGATAACTACACTTGCGCGCTTCCCTTCTAGGATCGATCGGAGAAAGAGTCAACCCTGTGATATACGGTCTTGTTTACGACGCCCACGATCATGACTAATTCCCCTTCGTCCCGAGATCGTCGCAAGAAACCGGACTGTTCGGTCAGTTGCGAACAGGATGCGATGCGGGCAACACTGACCTGTGATAGCTCCTCGAGCGGAAGACTTCTCAGCTGACTTGGCAGGCTCTCAACTTCCGCGCTCCATCGAAAAGGTGGTGGGTTCTTTTTCATCAGCCTTTCAACGATCTCGGCCAGACTTAGGAGCTTAAGGGTGGCCGCGTCCATCTCAGCTGCCGTGATCTCGTAACTGTTTCTATCCCGGCTGTACAAACGTCAACACGAGCTCCTATCTCCCCGTCCCGCGCGGATGAGCTCGCGCATCTCACTTACCGATCTTGATGCTTCCAGATTGCGTGAGCTGGATAGCGTCCGCGCTCAAGGTCGCGAGAACCCTTCCCTGCCGCCGTAGATATTCAATCCCTTCCAGTACCTATTCCGAGTCAGCCATGGATCCAAATTTGCCATTCGAGCCTCAGCCCCACAGGATCTCGCCACCTACTTGTCGAACGATCGCAGTAATCTCGCTCTCGGAGATGAGACACTTTGAGGCCAGAATCTGGCTGATGGACAGTTCCAACCGGCTCCCACGTCCTCCATGGATCTTAAATCACCTGCGATTCCAGCGGCCGTGCTTGAGTTTCGCGTTGCACCGTTGTCGACGCAGCCTGGTCGTGATCCGCCGGTACGACACAGGACTGGGGGTCGGACAATGGCAAAGGCGGCTTGACCGACTCGCTCACTCGGTACAATTTAGGGGTCTCATCGATCCACCCTGTGCTCGGAGAGTCAGCGTCTCCCATTGCTGATCGAGCCATACTGTGCACGAAAGGCATTCGAGCCTCCCCCAGCGAGGCAAATAGCGACTAGTGAAGCGCTCTGCAGAAGCATAGACAAAGACACAGATGTGGTTTCTGCGGCTTGCCTTCAGACATCCGGTATCTTGATAGGAATCTGTCCTGAAGACTTTCCGCCCCTGCTTCTCCTTTCAAGAATTCTCATGGCTACTAACACTCATCTAGGGTGCGTTGTTGCTAGTCTACTTCAGGTAGTGACGACTGAGATTTATGCTATGCACGGATCGGCAGCTGCTCCGGATTCAAAATTAAAATGTGGAAGGTCATCCGTACACCCAGATGACGAATCCGGTTGCTAGACCTGGCCAGATAATTTAATGATTAGTAGCTACCGGGCCACAACGTTCAGACTTATAGCGAATCGCCTTGGCCAGACAGCAAGAAGGGGTCGTCTCTAAGAGGCCAACTAGATTGATGTTGTAGTGCTCAACAGAAACCGGCGTTTTTTACTGTTCCTGGGACGTTCGATTAACTAAATGAGAATAAGGTTCGTACAATTTTTTGCGAACCAGACGCTGTTGCCCATCATCGGTCAAAATTCATCAACCCGCGCAGTACTCACCCGCCTATTTGCTGTTCGTTGCATGGCTAAAACAGACATTAGTCGGGTGGCTCCCGTCCGGGTGAGAATAGGGTGAGCGCCGCTTTAGCGTCGCACGCCTCCGGTGATTAGGGTGAGTGCGCAATAGACAGGGTGAGAATCACCCTCCATCGGGCGAGAGTTGCGCTCTGACTCCCTCAGCTGAAGTGAAGTGTACATCATTGGATGATCCACCACAACTTGAAACTCCCGAGCATATGAACGGTTTGTGGCCTAAACACTGGCATACACGTCTTCAGCTAACTGGTAATCTCAGACAAAAACCCGAAATGTGGTCTAAAGTGGCCCAACAAATGGGAGTGCCGTGGAGAGCAGCCGAGGCAATGCATTGGCATTTGAGAGACCACGACATCGCCAGTCAATGTCTCGATTCGCCTTCAAGGGAAAATAATTCACATGCAAGTCTTGGACAAAATTATATTCCACATGCTCATCGGCTTCCCGGGCTACGGATGCCAGTGGAAAAAAACAGAACTCAGTTGCCCTCTTTCCAAGAAATGTTCTCTGATATACCTGTTAAGCGTCCTGCTACAGCGCAGGAGAATAACTTCGCGACTTGAATAGGGCATGAGGTTTAGGAAAAGAAGCTATATCTGATTTATTCCATTGGAGAATGAAAATGAAAATCCCGAGCAACTGATTTCCGACACGGAGTTACTGCAACAGCAAGGATGGGGGCTAGATGTCGAGAGAATGGGTATTTTCAATACATTACACTCTAATAGCTACTTCAAGACAGTGGTAAGCTCGGGTTAAATTAAAAAGTGTAATACACTGGGATGACTATGTAACAAATAGTGTAGTCTTTACGAATTTCGTGGCCTCCGTAAGCTCGACCAAGAAGCATCATCCTACGATGACTGTGGTAATTACTTCCCCATCATCTTCGAGATTAAAGCTCGGTCCGCTATAAGCTAAAAACTCAAAGACTATTGGCACTGTGGAGGATCACTGGACAACGCATCGTCCTCGATGCCTCACCAATAAGTTTGTAGCCGTGGGGGGAGGATGCTGGATTTTTATCGTTTGCAGGCAATGGCAGGGACATTGAGCGCCTGTTTCTGCGCTAAGCTGCTGGCAAGGATTCTGAAGTAAGTTCTAGAGCTTTCGGCTCTCCAGTTTCACAGATGTGGCCCTACGATACGCTGTTCTTGAGTGTATGACAAGCCTACGAGTTAGCTGCTGCTCAGCATGGCGGATATAGGTCCTTGTTTCAATATTTGATCTGATGCATGCCTCGCGGAGAAAATGTGAGGATCCAGATATACACGTTCAACTGAGGCTCTTGGCTTCATCGCAGCACTATAAGATCAAAACTCTCCATTCTAAAAACAAAGACCTTTCTCGTAAAACAGATCCTGCCAATTGAGTCTTATATTACTAAACCATCTCCCTTTTCTCAGTCGATCACGAGGTACGAATTTCTCAAGAATATACAAGCAAGCTAAAAAGGCAATGTCGGATTGCTAATTGCCGTTTCTATTAACTTTCCGACTTCGAGCAGGCATACAATTGTCTACCTATTAAGTCAGCTAGGATATCCTTTTCATTGTGACCAAGACAGCCAAACTGTACCTCTTCATAGCGCCCTCGGCTAGATCTAACAGGCCCTCCGCCCGGAGACGCGATCTTGATACAGCCTGTCCATCCATTCTTAGATAGGTCTCCCCCGAAATGGGTGATCTTTTAGCATAGCAAATTCGATTTTTGTCGTCGTAGGATTCAGCCATGTGTGGCAGGAGATAGAACAAATGCTCCAGTATATTGTATGTCTGCTTTTGAACAACAAGGAGCTTGGGGTTGCTGGCTTCTTTTTGATGTTCTGGATTCCACATGATCATGCCCTTCAAGTCGAGTGCAGTAACTGAAAAGGTATCGCTGACCTCTTCTGGGTCAAAAAGTGTTGATATCTGGCCGGTTGGCTCGTTCCGATCGCTGTTCCAGACGCGCTCATTGAAGAGCCAGGCATCACGTTCGGAAACGGTATGAGCAAAGACAAATTTGATCAACCATATCCAGTGACCGGTCTTGCGGTCCTCATGTTTCCAGAAATAGAAGAATCCCTTCTGTAGAGGCACAGCCTTTAATAACAATATACCCCTTTCTTCTAGAAGTTCACGAAGCGCGGCAAGATGGAGGCCTTTGTCCAATGGATCCCTCGCGCCGCCCGGGACCTCCAAAACAAGAGGTCGTGATGTGTTCTTGACAGCACGCTTTTGCATCAAGACCCTCCCTGATTTGCAACTCAAGAGGAAAACTTCGACAGATGTACCTCGGACGTGAAAGCCTTGTTGTTGAAGTATTTCGAGTAAAAGGCTCGCATGATCATCAATATTACAAAAAGGTATTTCGTAAACGGTATCGGGTTCGAACTCAAATTCCACGTTCTGCAAACACGAGGATGAAATCGAAGTCACTCCACTAGAGCATTTGGAGTGGCTTCCCGGTTCTGCCATCATGAATGAAAATTTGAAAAGAATCCTCAGAGACTCAGGTTAGGCTAAGAAAAAAGGGGGTTGAAACGCGCTTTATAGAGGGTAGACGATAATGTAGCCCAGATGTAGATAGCCGGCGTCAAGAGGACTGCCAGCCACACCACTCTTTCTTCGTCTTTTGAATGGTCAAGAAAGAATTGAAGTTGCCGCTGACACCTCACTAAATGCTGAAGAGGTAAGGATGAGTGACAGGAAATTCTCGGGGAAATAGAAAATATAAAGTTCTTCTGGGAGAGCGATTTCAAATCAAGTTTGAATTTTGGCCATTGAGCCCCTATCATCGAACTTCATTTTTGAAATCCACGCACGGATTCAAATATTACGTACCGGATATGCCGGCTATTATTGCGATCGACCGGATCTTTGGTGATGGCGGTCCGCGACATGCTTTGTACGGCTAGATCATACGTTTAACATGGCCGACTCGTCCTACTTTGGAAAGTCGGTGTGATCAAAACATCGCGCTTTCTTTCAATTCCCTTCGGGCCACGTCGTATCTGTATGCAGACTAATGCATGTTCTTTCTGTCAAGTTACGCGAGCAGTTGCTTTGACATTGGTACTTTGTCAAAGAAAAATCAAGCGTGCCACTGAATCTTCGGCTGGGATAATATTTGATTACAGAGTTCTGCAATCCTGTGTCATGCCAAGAGACAAGGGAACACAGAAAAAAACCATCCGTTGTGGTATCGATACCTTCACACGACTCTCGGGAAGGCGAGCGTCGCAATTGCTTGAAGTGATAAATATATGACCGCAGAAAAGCGCGCTTTTGGATATTGAATTTTTATATCTAATGTTCATATACCCCTAGGGCACTCTCGCACTCTTTTCTGCGCAGTCGGAATTGGACGTATCTCTTCTGAAATAATCTCATTTCTTGTTGATCATGACCTCATACGCCGAAATTGTGAAGCTACCCAGAACATACTCCAAGCTCCCATATATGCGACACCGCGTCCACTGAGGATCCCATCGTACTCTGCTATTTATTTATCGCTGCGAATTATATTATGTCCTAACATTTTTGCCTTTGGATCAATGCTTTTATAGAAATTGGGGACCTCCATACCAAGGCTTATCCCGACATTATCCCTCAAGCAGTCCATCAACATAAATTGTGCTTTCACGATGCTTTCGGTGCCAAATTCAACAGCATGCACATTTGGAACAGGAATTTTAGTTTTCTGTTTGGCGAGCAGAATCATGTTGACTGGTCACGAAATGCCGGATTGTAAAACGAGCTGCTCTCATCTAAAGTGGCCATGTAACGATTGCGACCACCTTCCTTCATGTGCGTTCTCATATGGCTCTTGAATTTGCTATTGCGATCGAAGCTGCGATTACATCCGGGAACCCAGCAGTCATAGGGTTTTCGCTTTTCATGAGTTTTGAGATGATTCGTCAAATTTCCACGATGTTTGAATCGCCTATTACAACCTGGCTTATGGCAATTCAACAGGCGTTTCTCGGTATCACAAGCAGAATCCCAAATCTCTGCCTTCGGAGACTCGAGGTTGTTGGGTTTCTCGGACGGTCTTCTGATTTGTGTGGATTGGGGCGTCTCGACGAGGGGGGAAATTCCATTGATGGGCTTTTCGATGCATTTCGCCAGTATTCCAGGTGTCTCATGATGGTATCCGTTGGCGCAGGAGTTTATAGGAGTATTCAAGCACTCTCCTAAATTTGACTTAGAGGATAAGCTCTGTAATGTATCAGAGCATTCGCTTGGTAATATGGGGTCGAAACCCTAAATATAGTCGGGCCCGTCCCCCGGGGGGGGGATCATAGTTAAGGAGTGGGTCTAGGGGGGGGGGGGACGAGTCCAATACGTCCCCCCCCCCCCTAACTACCCTAAATATTGATCTTTTTTGGTCGCTCTTTTTTAATCTTTTAATAGTAGAGCCTAACGGACCTAAATATCAAAGAATATCCTAATATTTCTATAGGGAAGAGGCTAATCTAGGCGTATTGGGGTTAGATGAATTATTTTTTGATGGGGGATGCCAAGACCTCTAGGTACGGATAGGCTATCCCTTTTTTGGCTAGCTTTTCTAAACCTATATTATTAGCCTTAGAGATCTGGCTATCTAGGGGACTTAGCTTAGTAGCTAGGGTAGTAAGGGTTTACTAATAACTATCTCTTGAGGTAAGATATTACTATATACTAAGCTATACTAGGTAAAACTATAGATTCTCTATACTAATAAAATATTTTAATTTAATTCAGATTACTAGTCCTTCTATAATATCTACTATAGAGTAGTACGAGCTTATTAGCCTTAGCCTATCTAGGTAGGCCCTATCTCTATCTAGGTCTACCCTAGTCTACCCTAGTCTATCTAGTCTATCTAGCCTAGGTAGATATAGGCTAGTCTTAGTAGATATAGTCTGGTTAGTCTAGTATAGGTAGATATAGTCTAGTCTAGGTAGCCTAGGTAGATATAGTCCTAAATATAGTCGGGCCCGTCCCCGGGGGGGGGATCATAGTTAAGGAGTGGGTCTAGGGGGGGGGGGGGGACGAGTCCAATACGTCCCCCCCCCCCTAACTACCCTAAATATTGATCTTTTTTGGTCGCTCTTTTTTAATCTTTTAATAGTAGAGCCTAACGGACCTAAATATCAAAAAATATCCTAATATTTCTATAGGGAAGAGGCTAATCTAGGCGTATTGGGGTTAGATGAATTATTTTTTGATGGGGGATGCCAAGACCTCTAGGTACGGATAGGCTATCCCTTTTTTGGCTAGCTTTTCTAAACCTATATTATTAGCCTTAGAGATCTGGCTCTCTAGGGGACTTAGCTTAGTAGCTAGGGTAGTAAGGGTTTACTAATAACTATCTCTTGAGGTAAGATATTACTATATACTAAGCTATACTAGGTAAAACTATAGATTCTCTATACTAATAAAATATTTTAATTTAATTCAGATTACTAGTCCTTCTATAATATCTACTATAGAGCAGTACGAGCTTATTAGCCTTAGCCTATCTAGGTAGGCCCTATCTCTATCTAGGTCTACCCTAGTCTACCCTAGTCTATCTAGTCTATCTAGTCTATCTAGCCTAGGTAGATGTAGTCCTGTCTAGATAGTCGTGGTCTGGTCTGTCTGGTGTAGGTGGTCGTGGTCTGGTGTAGGTGGTCGTGGTCCGGTCTGTCTGGTGTAGGTGGACGTGGTCTGGTCTAGGTGACCGAGGTGGACGTGGTCTGGTCTAGGTGACCGAGGTGGACGTAGTATGGTCTAGGTGGTCGTGGTCCGGTCTGTCTGGTGTAGGTGGACGTGGTCTGGTCTAGGTAACCGAGGTGGACGTGGTCTGGTCTAGGTGACCGAGGTGGACGTAGTATGGTCTAGGTGGTCGTGGTCCGGTCTGTCTGGTGTAGGTGGACGTGGTCTGGTCTAGGTGACCGAGGTGGACGTGGTCTGGTCTAGGTGACCGAGGTGGACGTGGTCTGGTCTAGGTGACCGAGGTGGACGTGGTCTGGTCTAGGTGACCGAGGTGGACGTAGTATGGTCTAGGTGGTCGTGGTCCGGTCTGTCTGGCGTAGGTGGTCGTGGTCTGGTCTAGGTGGTCGTGGTGGTCGTGGTCCGGTCTGTCTAGTGTAGGTGGTCGTGGTCTGGTCTAGGTGACCTAGGTGGTCGTGGTCCGGTCTGTCTGGTGTAGGTGGACGTGATCTGGCCTAGGTGGTCGTGGTGGTCCTGGTCCGGTCTGTCTGGCGTAGGTGGACGTGATCTGGTCTAGGTAGTCGTGGTCCGGTCTGTCTGGCGTAGGTGGTCGTGGTCTGGTCTAGGTGACCGAGGTGGATGTGGTCTAGTCTGTCTGGCGTAGGTGGACGTGATCTGGCCTAGGTGGTCGTGGTCCGGTCTGTCTAGCGTAGGTGGACGTGGTCTATCTAGGTAGACATACTCTAGTCTAGCTAGATATGGTCTAGTCTATCTAGCCTAGATAGATGTAGTCTGGTATTCAAAAATATATATTTTAAAAGATAGTGCCTAGCTTTGAACCGCTGTCTTCCCCTAAAGATACCTAGGGCTACCTATTAGCTACTAGACTACCTATATATATATATTACTAGGAAGCTTATTACTTTACTTATAGTATATATTATAGGGCCTATAAAGGTTAGTCTATATAGGTCTGCCCTGGTCTATCTAGGCCTGCCCTAGTCTGCCCTAGTCTGGCTAGTTGGCCTATAGGCCCTGGTCTACCTAGGCCTGCCCTGGTCTACCTAGGTGTGCCCTACTCTAGCTAGCTAGCTAAGGGCCCTCGGGCTATCTAGGTCTACCCTGGTCTATCTAGGCCCGCCCTGGTCTATCCAGGTCTGCCATGGTCTGGCTAGTGAGCCTATGGGCCCTGGGTCTATCTGTGTGTGCCCTGGTCTAACTAGGTCTGCCCTGGTCTATCTAGGTCTGGCTAGTGAGCCTAAGGGTACTGGGTCTACCCGGGTCTGCCGTAGTCTGGCTAGTTAGCCTAAGGCCCCTGGGTCTATCTAGGTGTGCCCTGGTCTAGCTAGGTCTACCCTGGTCTATCCAGGTGTGCCCTAGTCTACCTAGGTGCGCCCTGGTCTGGCTAGGTCTGCCCTGGGTCTATCTAGGTGTGCCCTGGCCTGGCTAGGTCTGCCCTGGTCTGGCTAGGTCTACCCTGGTCTATCTAGGTGTGCCCTGGCCTGGCTAGGTCTGCCCTGGTCTGGCTAGGTCTACCCTGGTCTATCTAGGTCTGCCCTGGTCTG